CGTGGGAACTCCTGATTTATCACCAGTTGGTCAGAAGTACAGGTGATAACTTGGGCTTCTGACTGGCATCTGAAGTGGTGGGGTCTGGGAGAGTCTTGTAGAAATGAACCCATAACCTGTGGAATCAGATATTCTCTCCAGGTAGTGTCAGGACTGAGTTGAATTCTCAGAAACCCTGCTGGTGTCCAAGAATACCTTGTCAGATTTGTGGTGACCCCACCGCCACTCCGAACACACATACACACACATTGAAATTGCATCTCAGAATACCAAGTCTCTCATATCTCTGCCTTTGCTCTTTGTTTCTTCTAATTCCACCCTCATTACCAGAATATCAATGCCAAAATTCAGTCCATTGTTTGAAATTTACCTCAAGGCCACTCCCTCCAAGAAGTCTCTGCTGATCTCTTCAATGAGTGTGATTGTTCCTTCTCTTGAACACTTGAGGTGTGGATGTTCACGTGCTTGCGTATGTTCTCTATACTCTCTTACAAAGGGGTTCTTAACTCATTCTCAGAATCACTTGGGATGCTCCCTAAAATTATGTATGCCAGGGGCTTCCCTGGTGGCGCAGTGGTTGAGAATCTGCCTGCTAATGCAGGGGACATGGGTTCGAGCCCTGGTCTGGGAGGATCCCACATACCTCGGAGCAACTAGGCCCGTGAGCCACAACTACTGAGTCTGTGCGTCTGGAGCCTGTGCTCCACAACAAGAGAGACCGCGATAGTGAGAGGCCCATGCACCACGATGAAGAGTGGCCCCTGCTTGCCACTAGAGAAAGCCCTTGCACAGAAACGAAGACCCAACACAGCAAAAATAAATTAATTAATTAATAAACTCCTATCCCCAACATCTTCTTAAAAAAAAAAAAAATTATGTATGCCTGTGTCCCACCCCAGAGATTCAGACTTGGGGGCTGGAGTGGAGCCCACTTATCTGTATTTTTTTTAATATTTATTTATTTATTTGGCTGAGCCCAGTGTTAGTTGCGGCACACAGGTTCTTCCTTGTCGCATACAGGATATTTAGTTGCAAGCATGCATGTGGGATCAAGTTCCCAAACCAGGGATTGAACCAAGGCCCCCTGCATTGGGAGCTCGGAGTCTTAGCCACTGGACCACCAGGGAAGTCCCACACTTCTCTGTATTTTTAATACAGACTCTGATGTAGAGCCAAGACTGAGAACAATTGCCTTATTTTGAATTTTTTCTCACTGAGAGAACAAAGGGGAGATTACCAGGAAAGATAAATGGAAAGGTATGTTGGAATCAGATCTCTGGACCTCACTTTCCTTATCTTTAAAATGGGGATAATAACCCCTTCTTCCTTGCATTATTATGAACCTAAAGGGAGATAATATATAGTCAAAATCTAAGGCTGAGTCCTAAGAGTGAAGATACCACACACATTCCCTCACTTGACAGTAAAGACTGGAGCTTAGTGCAGTGTTTATTATATGATGGCTGTGTGATTTTTAACTTAACCATTTATACTCTGTGTGAAGGGTGTGTAACTTACACACATATGTTCCCTGGCTGCCCTGAGCTCCGGATGCTGAAGGAAGCTGTATGGAAGTTACTTCATCACTCAGTGGCTTAACCTTGAAGCACTTCTCTTTCTGGAAAAGAGGAGCTTTTCAACATTGCTAACTCCACTTATAGCATGGACATAAGAACGATCATGGCCATAACTTCATCACACTCACAATACAGGGAAGAGGGCACAGGAGGGTTTACACGGAGCTCCCACATACACTCTCTCATCCAATCCTCCTGAGGCCATACGAGGGAGATGTTAATGTCCCAGTTTTATAGATGTGGAAGTTGAGGCTCAGAAGAACTTAGATGATTTGCTAAAAGTTACATAAGTAGGAAGTGGCAGAACTACAATTCGAACTCATTTAGTGTAATTTCATATCTGATGCTCTTTACCTTCACCACAACTGACCCCAACAATTATCTGTTCATTTGATCAGGGGGTAGAGACGTCCATCCTGATCATCACAGTTCAAAACTGCTTGATGCAGAAGACATTTTGCCTGTGAATGAATCAAAGGTCCACCTGCATCACTGGGTAAACTTCCGTACTTAACATGTGCTGTTTCCTCTACTGCTCACATTCCCCATTGGCAAACTCCCACTCAGCTTTCAAGATTCAGCACACAGGAGCACCTCCAGGTAGCTTTCCCTGCTGCCTATGCCCACTCCAGCTAGCTAGACACATTCTTCTCCTTTTTTCTTTTTTTTAAACTAAAGAGAAAAAAAACTATATCTATACAATCAGTTCCTTCTTGTTGGGCTGAAAAAGCAAAACTAAGCTGTAAAATTACAAGTTGCTACCTCTGCTATGGAACAGCACATCGGGTGATCAGACAAGGTTACTATCTACAGGGGGTGGCATTATGGAGACAGAATGGTCCTCCATTGTCATTCATCGTCTCTGTCCAAAACTAAATTTCCACTGTCTTTTTTACTTGCTCTGAAATTCATATTATGGGGAACAAAGACTTCATTAAAAAAAAAATGTTAGCTCGTTTGTCTTTTTTTTTTTTTCTAGTAAGAAATTGGCTTAAATGGCCCCTAAGTGCACAATAAAATGGAAATGACTGATAGCTGGTCTTTTCCCAGAAGGAGGTTTTCAGAAGAGAGAGAGCCTGAGAGAGCTCTGGGTTCCAGGCACCAGAAGAAGGGAGGTGCAGACACTGTGGAGGTGAGGGGAGGTCAGGTGTAGAGAAAGAATTCAGAAAGCGGAAGGCGGAGGCCCTGAAAACATGTGTGGCTTTCTCCACCAGGTGTGTTCTGGTTTTTAACACAACATTTACACAAACACTAGAAAACTGAGTTTACCAAAGTTTGGGATTCTTGTCTAAATCGTGTCCCATTATGTTCAGGAGAAAGTACATTTATAAACATTATAAACAAGGTAGTGAACCAAAATAACTCAACATAGGGTAGATCAATGTTAAGGCATTCTCATTTAGGAAGAAAAGGTTTTTTCACTAAAGATCTAATGCAGAGGAAGCCACATCATGACTAAGTTGTGTACCCAGGGAAGGTTAACATGATCATGACCTTGGAACTGCTTGAACCAATTGGAAAAACTAGCACATGAGGACAAGGAATAGATCCCCAAATCTCTGCACATCCACATTCCACTTTTCCTTTGAGGACAAGTTCATATGCTACATCCTTCATGAAGCATTCCCTGATTCTACCTAACCCAATCATTGCACTTTCCTTCAGACTCCCACAGTATTTCATCTGAACCACTATTAACTTATCTCCAATAATCTAGTACCCATCACAGCACCTGGCATACAATAGGTGTCAGGAAATATTTCTTGAGTGAATGTAAGAATCTACATCATAAACATTTGTCTGCTATCCGGATAGGTTCTAACCCAAGACATATTTCTTTGGATTGTCTAAAAAGCTCCTAGGACACTCCAGGAGGGAACTGAACCACCTACCATAGCATCTCAAATAATATATTAACACATGTTATACATCATACATGTTGACATATACATTTATGCACAGGAATACCTGCCCTTACAGAATACAGTTGGCTCTTGAACAACATAGGTTTGAACTTCATGGGTCTACTTATACCTGGATTTTTTTCAATAGTAAATACCACAGTACTACATGATCAGCACTGTTGAATCTGCTGATGTGGAATCGTGGATACAGAGGAACTGAGTATACACAGGGCTGACTATAAACTATATGCAAATTTTCAGTTGCACAGAGGATCAGCACCCCTAACCCTCCCCCCTTGTTAAGGGTCAACTGTATCTATAAATATATGTAAATGAATGTATACAAAGACTGTGTATGGTAACTATCTACATGCACATAGAGTCAGAATAAGTGAGACCAGGTGACACAATTTGAAAGCAGGCCCAAGGGCCTCTGATCAATACAGCCGCTACATAGCCACGTTGTCTGAAAGTCCTCTCAGGGTCTTTTCCCTTGGGAGTATACAAGGCATCTCATGCTCACTTTCCCTGTCTTCTCCATGAACACAAGCCAAGGCCCCCCAGTTGTTACAGCCCTGGAGCTACTGCTCCACCGTGGGCCAGCCGGGTGCTGGAGTGGAAGACTAGAAAACAGGGCCTGATGTAGTAGCTGCCAGCTCAGCCTCTAAACATACCCCCACCATTGAATCCTGGCTCCTCCACAAGGTTAGCATATGATTTATATAAGCCATCTCACTTCTCTGGATTTGCTTTTTATCTGCAAAATGCAGATAATAATAACATCTACCTCCCAAGGTCTTGTGAGGATGGACTGAGATCATATACATACAGCATGTAAGTCTGGGACATAATAAATATTTAGCAAATGATCATTATTATCATTACCATCAGTATTGCTTTCTTTGTCTTTCCCATGCAAAATCCAGCTTGCAGAAAATACATTTATGCTAAAACCACATCCTCCAGAAACTGCTTTAGGACCCCCATATACATACAGCTTCGTCACGACGCACACAAGCACACATGTTCCTCACCTACAACAAGGGTGGGTAAGTGCAGAGCTTCTCTAGTTAGACTCCTTAGCCCCAAGATACCTACCACTAATCAAACAATATTCTACTGCATAAATTAATACAGCCTCAGCATCTGACATGCCCAGAAAATGTAACTGCGGTTCATTAACTTCAGAATTAGTCTCCTATTCCTTTTCCTTGACCAGACAATTTTGCAAAAGTAAATATCTAAAAACCCCCAAAACAGAGCAGCAAATTGTACTTTTTTTTCCATTGAAAGACTCCCTTATTTGGGGGTACTAGATCACATTATAACATTGCAAAACTGTCAGAGTGTAATTAACCCGTGTTGCTTCACATTCCTGATGTGGCAATTGTTTAAGACAGGGCTTTATAAAGGACCAAATGAAAGCAGTGAGTGACATGGGATGCTCTGAACTTCAGGGTACCCATCAGGAGAAGGGGCAGAAGGAAGGCCAGGAGAGGTAGTTTTTGAAGACGAGGCCATGTTCGGTCTGAAGATGCTTCCACTTCTGCTGTTACTCCACGTGCAGCTTTCCAAGGCCTTTCTAGTACATTCTGAATTCCTAGAAGAGAAAACTACAAAAATTGTTCAGGTAACTCAACTATCAATTAGGTGGGCGGTTGATTTGCTGGTGATGAGGAAATTGTTTGGGTTGTCTTCTCTTTTTAGTTAAAGCAGCCTGAAAGAATTATGTGAATGATTTGTTTGAGGTTAAACATATGGTTTCAATGATTTGGAGAGTTCCAAGATGGGCCCTCTAAAAGCCAGGCATGCAAACAAGCTGGTCTCTTCAAACCCTCACAAAATACTGCTGCCGAGCTGCTGCAGCTGAAGAAAACTTTTAGAAGGAATGGTTTTAATTATAAAATGATTTTCTTTCTCACTTACCTAAGATTTTCCCTTCTAGTGTATCTGCAACACAGTTACTACATGACTGGTGCTTTCTACGTGGACTTGTCTTTGCAGCCAAAAATCTCAAGTGTACATAAAGTGCGAGGATGGGAAACACTAAGGAACTAGAAATCAGTTCATAGTGTAATCATATTTCCTAAAACCAGGTTATGGGGCTGTTTATAAACTCTTAAAAGCACTGTAAAAGCAAAACTGATAACTTTTCTCCATTGTTTCACAGTATGAAAGTCAGGCCAAATTTTTAAAGAAACACAAGAGAATGCTGTCAGAAATTTGTCATGCACAATTTTCTTAGCATTACAGTTTTAGAAAAGCATTTCTTCTTGTTGATATTTTTCTTTCACTTAAAAAAATATATTTCTTACAATGATAACAGTAACCCATGGGCTAATAGAAGTGATTAAGTACTTACTCTGTACAAAGCGCCCTGCTCAGCATTTCACAAACATTGTCTCATTTCATCCTACAACAATCCTATGAGGGCAGCGGATTATTATTTCCACTTTAGAGACAAATGTGAATCTGAAGTCATCTAAGTGATGTGTCCAAGGACACAAAATTAATCTGTGGCAGAGCTAAGATTTGAACCCAGATCTATCTGATCTCAAAGCCTGTGTGAGCACAAAATTGCTCTGTCCTGTGTCACTTGCAAAGTGCCACTTAAGGATGCTTAAGGTGAGACAAAGAAGTTTCATGATTAGCTTGTTAACACCCCTCAGAACCTTCTTAATGAGTTTTGGCCCCTCCCAAAGAGTTACTGTGGTGGATAAAATGCTAATGACAGTGATGCTGCTGTTGCCCCAAAACATGTTTGGAATTCTTTTGAAGACGTTAATTCTCATTTGAGAAGCAACATGGTGAATTGGGACCTGATTATCTTCTTGGCAAGTTCCTTATTTCTCTGCATCTTCATGTCTTAATATGTATGATTAAACCTTCTCTACAGTAGTGAAAAGAGGATTAAAAAAGAGAATCTGCATTGCTGCAACTAATGCTTCAAGGAGTCAATAAATGCTGATGCTGTTTTGTTTTTTGTTTTTTTATTAAAAATAAGAAGGCAGTCTTCTGACTTTGTACTAGCATTTTGCTTGAGGATGTGGAACTCATCCATTATGAAATACCTATTTTTATGCATAAATATTAACTGTAGCACTGAATGGATGGACTGTTCTTTCCAGTAGGCAATTTTCTCTCCAAGTCAACCAGAAAATTTGTGCTTTTATCTTTGTGACTATCAGGTTATTAGTCTTGGTTTGACCTCTGCAATAACTTGAAAAGGAATGCAAAATGCACAGAGAACTGAAGGAAATTTCACAGCAAATCTCTTACATGTTTGACTTTTTCCAGAATTACCTAGAAAAGTTCTACCAATTACCAAGGTACAAATATCAGTCTGAAAGGAAGAACAGCACTAGTGTGATTGTTGAGAAGCTTAAAGAAATGCAGCAATTCTTTGGGCTGAACATAACAGGGAAGCCAAATGAGGAAACCTTGGAGATCATGGGAAAGCCTCGCTGTGGAGTGCCCGACACTGGCAATTTTATGATAACTCCAGGAAACCCCAAGTGGAAACAAACTGATCTGACCTACAGGTAATATTTCTAGAGTTTCAGAATTCACTCATTCAGCCCATGTTCACTGAACTCTTATGATGTGTCAGGCACTGTTCTAGGATTCGGAATACACTAGAGACAAACAAATGAATAAATATCCCTGCTCTTAAAGAGTTTAGATTCTAGTGAATGAGTATGAGAATGAAAGGGTAAAGATCCCATGGGTTCTTTTCAACCCAAAGCCTGCCCTTTTTGTCTTCTTTCTCTATCAATCTAAAGAGGACTATGGCAATGTTAGGCTGTCTCTCTAAGAATTCACTTTAGGACCCAAAAAAGGCTTAATCATTGTTGGGGAGAATCTAGCCTTACCATTCATGCATCTTGATGATAATAACAATAATAATGATACCCAATGTTTGTTGAATACTACTATTTGCCAAGTAGTGAACTAAATGCTTTACATACATTTAATCCCACAACAACCTTATGAGAGGGGTACTATTTTATTATCCTCATTTTATGAATAAGGAAACTGAGTTTAAAGACATGTAGTAACTGGTCCAGAACCTACGTCTGTCTTCAACCTTAAGTCCTGCACCCCTCTTGCACCCTCTTCAGTGGTAACACATCACATATGCACAAACTCCAAACCAGAGCAATTCAATCTACTGATGGACTGCTGTTCTAAACAATAATGAACCTTCACACACCTTCTCATTTTGAAGGATTATTAACTATACCCCAGACTTGTCAGAGGCTGAAGTGGAAACAGCTCTTGAGAAAGCCTTTAAACTCTGGAGTCTCGTGTCACCCCTGAACTTCACCAAGACCTCACAGGAAGAAGCAGATATCAAGATTGCCTTTCTCCAAGGAGGTAGGCTCAAAGCAGTCATGCTCGATTTTGCTTTCCCTGACTAAACTGAGATTTGGCAAATACCTAATACAAATCGTTTTATTCCAGATCATGGGGACAATTCTCCATTTGATGGACCCAATGGAATCCTTGCTCATGCCTTTCAGCCAGGCCCAGGTATTGGAGGAGATGTTCATTTTGATGCAGAAGAAACATGGACCAATACCTCCAGAAGTAAGTTAACCAAGGTTATGTCCACATGCAGCTTCTAAATGAACATTTCCACATTAGAATTTGCCCTCCTACACACACACACACACACACACACACACACACACACACACACAGCCAAGTTATTGTAACATTTCACACTCACACAAACTGATCATTTAAAATTCTTGCTACCTCAAGATACTAAGTTAATTTAGGTTTAGAAAAAATCCTGAAGCTAAATTCTGACCTTGTTTCCTAAGGCAGGAATCAGAAAACAACAGATCATGGCTAAGTCCTTCCTGGTCCTATTTGTATAAATAAAGTTTTATTGGAACAGAGCCACATACTCTTTTGTTTATGTATCATCTATGACCGCTTTCATACCACAATAACAAAGCTGAGTTGTTGACACAGAGACCATACAGCTCATAAAAATCTAAAATATTTACTATCTGGACTCTTATAGAAAAAGTTTGCTTACCACTGCTTTAGGGTATATATTTTAATATTGTGAAATTTAATGATGTTTGAAAAAGATTCCTATTTTTGGAAATTCAGAAATAATTGGTTTATTTAGAAAACTGACCTATTTAATAAAGAGCAGCCATCTAGTTATTCTCGTTCATCTGGTGATTTCATCTTCATGGAGCTCTTTTTCAATGATACGTTTCCATATAGCAAACTACCCCTTTCAGGAGAAGACTCAGAGTAAGAAGAAGACCACCTGAAGGGAAGAACTGAGAATAAGGAGAGGTATATTCATACCATATGGTACTTTACAAGGCTACAGGGTAACAAGAGGCCAAAGAACACTTTTTAGAAAATAATAGGAAAGGAGCCTTTTACCATTGCTTGGGACCTGTTCCTCCCACCATTTTCTCAACATAAATGTTCTGAGTGTTTATTCTACCTAAGTTCCTGTGCTAGGAGCTGTGAGTGCCCAAAGATAATAAACACTCCCCAAGACTTTGCATTCCTATTGCCCTCCCCACTAGTTCAGATGGTCATTACCTCTTATCTGAATTAACTGGTCCAGATTCCGACCTGGACTGTTCACATCCGATCTCGGCTCCCTCTAATTTTCCCCAGCGCTGTAAGAAGTTTTGTCCTTGGAAAGCCCATCTTTACATTTGAAAAGCCCAGTGTTTACATTTTCCAGGCCAAATGTGTCCACATACCTTCACTTGACACTGAAAGCTCTTGGAGATCTTCCAAACTCATCTTTCATGGCTTGTCTTCATATTTCACACACAGCAGCCACATGGCACATTCACTGTTTCTGACTCACACCACGTGCTTTCCAACTGCCCTACATTTGCTCACATTGCTTCCTCTTCCTGAAACGCCTTTCCCCACACCTTAAGCCCCACCTTTCAAAATCCCTCTTTTCCATGCTACGTCAAATGCCACCCCCATCCTGTCTTTCAGCTGGAAATGAAGACTTCCTCTTAGAATAACAACAGCCTTGATTTTTTCTTCTCTAACTGCCCTCCTCATTATTCTGTGCATTCTATTTGTTTCCACACATCTCCCCTTTTAGTCTATGCATCATGACAAATCTCCCAGAGCCCCTTGCCCAGTACTCCAGACACTCAAAGATGTTTTTTAAAGCATTTACGAATGCAAAATGGAAGGATGTGATGATCAAGAAAGAAAGTCTTGGAGCATAGGTAGAATATTACAAGGCTAATTATCATCAGGAAGTTGAACATGGTGATAAGAACACAGCTCTTGCCATCATACCTAGGTTCAACCCCAGCTCTACCACTTATTAGTTGCAAGGCCAATATAACAAGGTATTCAAAAATCTCTGGGCTTCAGTTCCTTTGCCATAAAAGTAATCTAACAATTCTTCATAAAAATGTTGTTAAGATTAAATATTATTACAATTCCTAGCATATAATAAAGTGCTGTACAACTATGACTGTCTTTTAAGTAGATATGTAAAAAAATGCACAGTGTGTTTGTAAAATGGCACATAGACTAGCTGGAGTGAAGGATTCACATCAGAAATCGAGTCCTCAGATGTCTGCTGGAGCCAAATGGAGTAGTCTTGAACTTGGTAAAGGATCTCGGGCTTTATTTGACAGGAAGTGCAAGCTTTGAAAGTTTTTAAGCTCCCAGTAATGAAAGACACTATGCTCATGGAAGTTAAAAGATAAGGGTAGGAAGCAATAAGAAGCAGCGTTTGTCTCTTTCTGGTGGAAAATTCCTGAAGCTTCCTGGAGATCTCAGAATCAAGGAATAGCTGGTGCTGAGTGGTCAGGGAGCCAAAGTGAGTCAGCTCTGCATCTGAGGCCACTCTTGCTGCCTGGCAGACTGAGACTCTCCTCATGGGGCTGTGGGCCTGGGAGACTGGAGAGGGGTAGGGGTGGGTGCATGGGAGGAGAGGGCTTTTGGGAGTCATGAGACCTGTGATGGCCCTGCCATCATTTCCCTGAGCCTCAGGCCCATGAAATATGGGAATTGGAATAAAAGCAGCAGTCTTTCTTGGTTCTAAGATTTGGTGAGGAGCTCATACTCACCTAATCTTAACCTATAGCCCCTACCTTGATTCCTTCCAATCTCCATTTCTTCAGGTACCTGAAGAGAAAAGGAAAAAGTCAGGCATGAGAAAGGCTGTTTCTCCAGGGAGTTTTGGCTCAGAAGCTGCATTCCTTGAGATCCTATTTCCACCACCCTTCAATCTACTTGGAGCCATTCACCACACATGCTTGCATTTCAGATTACAACTTGTTTCTTGTTGCTGCCCATGAATTTGGCCATTCCTTGGGGCTGGCTCATTCCTCTGACCCTGGTGCCTTGATGTATCCCAACTACGCTTTCAGTGAGCCCAGCACCTACTCACTCCCTCAAGATGACATCAGTGGCATTCAGGCCATCTATGGTAAGGTCATCTGAAGAGCAGCAGTACCTGGTGAGACCTGGCCATGTCAGGGATGTTCTTTGCAGTCTTGGCTATGGTGATTGAAGTTAGAGGGCACCTGGGAGTCCATCGGGAGGAGAATATATGGGTAAAATATGGTGAATGCCTGCCATAGAGTAATGTACAGCACTGAGAAGCACTGAATCAGATGTACATAGATGAGTCTTTAAAACATTGTGCTTCCTGGAAAAGAAAGAGAATGATACATGTTACTCAGTGTATAAATTACATAATACATGGATCTATACAAATTAAATATGTATATAGACAAAGCAAGGCATTTTCAAGAAACATGCTAACAAACATATATACATATATATTGAACATATCAAGATTGTTGTCTGTGGGGGAAAGAGGGGAGTGGGGATGGAGTACGGAGAGAAAGAAACATCTTTTAAAGACAGGACTGATACTTTTCAAGGAGGGATATAGAGGCCTTTGCCTCTATCTAAGTATTGTCTGATAAGACTATTGCATCTCTCCTTCCTCTTGCCATCCTGCCCCCTAGTGGCTGTAATAACAAGAAACCAGAGAAGAGGTTTGCAGCTCTCTAAAAGTAAAAAATATTTTTAAATGTTTTGTTGATTGGAAGGGAGTGTCGTGGAGTCGAATTGTGTAAAACATTCTCCCTCTCTGGTGGGACAGCAGTACAAAACGAACCATGCCAGGGTCCCACAACTACGAATTTTATTCATGACAGTAGAATTTTCAGGGATGATGAGACCTAGTCTAACTGCCTCTACTCCCCAATTCCTTTTCCCCTGGAAACACCTCCCTTTCTCACTCGCCCATATTTGAACTGTTAGCAGCCTTTCATTCTACAATGGGAAAATACATTAAAATTTAAATACTTATAGAAAAAAATATTGCTACATTTTGATTTAGATTTATGCTGTGGGGGCCTCTTTCCAGAAGGTGGATTTTAATGAGAAAGGAGAAAGTAGATACTGAGTGACTAAAAATGCAGAAAGAGGAGGCAAGAAGGGAAAGAAGCATGGGATTCTAATTTCAAACTGGCAGAGGGGAGGGGGAAGAATTCACATTTCTTTATTTTACAACTTAGCTTGGAACTCTCCCTAAAGCTACCATTATTCTTTTAGTTTTGTTTTATTTTTTTTTAATTGGGGAATAGTTGTTTTGCAATGTTGTGTTAGTTTCTACTGTACAGCGAAGTGGAGTTCCCTGTGCTATACCTCAGGTTCTTATGAGTTATCTATTTTATACTTATTAGTGTATATATGTCAATCCCAATCTCCCAATTCATCTTACTCCCCTCTTTTATTTTTTAATTTAAAAAAATAAAACTTTTAAGAGGGCCTAATGTGTGATTACTTTAATGTCTTATAGGATAGTCAGCTAGCATTTTTCATATGAAGACCCTTCACCAACCTGAGAAGTAACTGAAATACACCAAAATTCACCCTGGACTCATGCTTATAAAAAGGATTTTTACTTTCAGGACCTTCAAGCAACCCTGTGCAACCTACTGGACCAACCACACCCACAGCCTGTGACCCCAGACTGACATTTGATGCTATCACTACACTCCGCGGAGAAATACTTTTCTTTAAAGACAAGTATAAGAATGAACTATTCCTTCCTTTGACTTCTTTTACTGACATAACTTAAAACTGGATTCTAATTAAGTCACATATTACACATTACTCAGCTTTTCCTTTGAATTCTATGCATATGAATCTCGTTGGAAGTGATAGTGCTTTCTGGGTAAATCAAAACATCCAGGGAAAGAAAAATAAAAGCTAAAACATCTGTAAGCATTTAGATGTTTGTGATGATCTAAACAGACATGGACTGTAGCTGTTGGGAAACCTATAGCTGGGTTTACCCAACACCAAAATAGCATTCAATTCCACCCAAATTCATTCAAGTGAATGGAAACTGTCACTTAATAAGCTGCAGGGAAAATCATCTGACTGAATTTTTCAATTTTCCATTGGCATTCTGTGATTGTGCACTCACAGGCTGAGTGTACTTGTATTGCTTTTGCTAGAATATTCTAAATATTCTCATCATATTGTAGCAACAATAATGAAAGAGACTAACAAAATAAAACTTGTCAATGTGTGAGGAGACGAGCAATGTAAAATGTAATCAAATAAGGTCACTCCTATCAGCTCATCTGAAAACTGTAAAGTACTCACCAGATGGACAGTATCACCATAAAGTGCTGGCCATATGCTGGTCACTGTGCTGGAAGCATTGCCTTCACTGTATGTTATATCCTCCCAGCAATCTTATAGGATCAATACCAGACCAAGACTCACAGAAGCTGCCTGCTTAGACTATTGTGTATGGTTTTCTCCTTCGTGTTCCATTAGGTACTTCTGGAGAAAGCATCCTCACCTACGAAGAGTCGAACTCAATTTCATTTCTCTCTTCTGGCCATCCCTGGTAAATCGTATACAGGCTGCTTATGAGGATTTTGACAAGGACCTAATTTTCATATTCAAAGGTAACTGCCTAAGGTTTTCATCTTATTTTAGTTCTTCCTGAAGGGAAGGGCAGGACTTCTTTGTGGTCTCTTCCAGGTCCGAGGAGGTGAGTCAAGGAGAGAGTGTTAGGCTAGCTGGGCTTTTGTCATGAGACCTGGGTTGGGTTGAATCTCCACCACTAAATGCTGTATGAACTTGAGCATGTTGTACCTTCTTCAGGTATCAGTTTTCTCATCTACAAAATGAGAACACTTTATTAGACCACCTTTAGCATTCCTCCACCCTCATCCCAGATATAATTTTCTAAGATTCCCCAAGGCTCTAGTTCTCTGTATAGAAGTCACATGAGATAAGACGTTCAAGTGTGGGGCCCTGAGTGTCAGGCTAAGAAGTCAGAAATGTTTTACAGGTTCCAGGAAATCATTAGAGTTATCATAGCCCAATGGTCTTGACTTTACCACCTCTATCTTTTCAAGACTATTTTTTCCATTTTTATTTCTATGATGAATTTATGCAAAGATTAAGAATTGGTATACATTTTGTAGGAATGGAAAAACTTTATCTAATATATAACCTGAATCATTGGCAGGCAATCAGTACTGGGCTGTAAGTGGCTATGATATTCAGCAAGGTTATCCCAAGAATATAGCAAACTATGGCTTCCCAAGCAGTGTCCAAGCAATAGATGCAGCTGTTTCCTACAGGGGAAAGACATACTTCTTTGTAAACAACCAATTCTGGAGGTAAGATAAACTATTTTTTTCCATTAGAAATTGAAATCTGTGTTTCTTTACCCTCTTTACAAACCATCATTGATTAGGCAACTGAAGGTTAAAAATATCTAGGTGGTCTCTGATAGGCATTCTTTTTCACAAGATGATTGATGTCGCTCTGGCTCTTGAAAATTTTACAAAGTTAAGATGCCTGAACAATTGTATTGAGGATTATATATCCTGAAACAGAGCAAACTTTAATAAAACACTAAAATGGGATGCAAAGAAAGAGGCTAATTCTCATTTATTCATTAAATTCTAAGAGTTAAATTCTACTATACAGAACTTGATGTTATACAGAACTGTTCTGTTCTGTTCTGTTCTGTCAAGTTCTGTTATACAGAACTTGATACCCAACTTGAAATTATTATTTATATTTATTCAGATAGAGACTATGAACTAAGTAAAAGCCTTAGAACATATAAGCTCTGCTTTTTGAAAATAACACTGCCCCAACAATCAGAAGCCTGTTTTCCTATTAGTGATACCCATATATTTTATAAATACGTATGTACCCTTAGGTAGAGAAGTTAACCACTGTTAGTTTCCCAGTAAATAGGACATCGTGAAGAACAAATGAGAAAATACGTGTGAAGGCATTATGTAAAGTACATAAAATTTAAATAAAACTATTAATCACTGTACACTGTATTGGTCTTAAATGTGGGACAATTTTTTTTTTCTCATCAGATATGATGATCAAAGTCAATCCATGGAACCAGGTTATCCCAAAAGCATAGCAAGTAGCTTTCAAGGAATAGAAAGTAGAGTTGATGCAGTTTTCCAGAAGAATTGTAAGTAGAAAAAAAAAAAACTTAATAAATTAAAAAAAAAATTAAATAGCTCAATTGCATTGCAAAGTTATATTAGGACAGGAGTGGGGTCTTTTTAATTGAAAACATCCAAGATCTGCTATAAGCTAATTCAATACATTATATCTTTTTTTTTCTTATAGCCTTCTTCTTTTTCTTCAGTGGACCAAGATATTATGCATTTGATCTTAGTGCTCGTAGGATTACTAGAGTTGAAAGAAGCAATAGATGGCTTAACTGTAGATAAAGCTGAAGCAAAATCAAGTGCGTTTGTGTCCATTTTCTGAATATGGAAGGGAGGTCTAATACGCATATCTATTACATTGTGTCCTATTTATACTTTTCTCAACAATAAGTAATATTGTTTGCTCTCACTGTATTCATTGCACTGATCCTCACTGAAAATACTTTTGGAGTATTCCACTGTTTGCAGAGGCTGATTTTGTCCTATAGTCCATCTCAGGTTAGTGAATCCATCACAAGGAGAAGGAAATTAAGCCTTTTTTGCCACCTCAATATCCATTATTTCATCACTTGCTATTTGACTTATTTGACTTCTAAAATGCCCATTTATTCTTAAGTCTTTTAAATATGTCTCAAGTGTAACTGCTACATGTAATTTAGCACTGGATTTGGTTATAGGTAAGGATTATGAACAACATAAATAGTACACATTGCCTTTTGCCAAAAATGTGGTGCTATTTTTCACTCTTGGAAAGAAATGTTGTTGATACTTGTTGTGGATTGAATTGTGTCCCCCCAAAAAAGTATGTTGAAGCCCTGACTCCAGGTACCTACAGATGTACCTAATTTGGAACTAGCATCTTTGAGGATGTAATTAGTTAACATGAGGTTATACTGGATCAGAGTAGGCCTAAAAACTGATGTTCTTATAAGAGGAGAGACATAGACACACAGTGGAGAAGGCCATTTGAAGATAGAGACAGGATTGGAATAACGCATCTACATGCCAAGGATTACTGGCAACCGCCAGAAACTGGAAGAGGCAAGGAAGGATCCTCCCTAGAGCCTTCAGAGAGAAGAACATGGCCCTCCTGACACCTTGATTTTGAATTTGTAACTTCCAAATTGTGATTTAAAAATTTTCTGTTGTTTTAAGCTACGAAGTTTGTGATACTTTGTTAAGGCAGCTCTAGGAAGCTGATACAGTACACCTGAACTTATGGAAATGAATCGGTACAGAAATACAGACTTGAAACCCCAGTAAAGATTACTGGCATCTTCCCAGGGGAGCAACAAAAAGGAGGGGTACCACTTCCTCTCCCCCTTCTGGCTTCTAGAGTTCAAGAAAATGGCCCAGTTAAATCTGTTGTTCCTTATTTCTGTTTTCCCTGGGATCCTCAGGAGGACACCCTCTACAGATAACTAGGGTTTACTGCACAAACAGTATAGTGTTGGGCACAAAATTCAATAAATCTCATTTAATTGAGTTAAACTGAGCTTAGATGCTTAAATTTGCTAATGGCTCTTTTCCGTTAAGAACTTTAAGATTTGTAGTATCATAATGACTAGTCTAGACATTAAAATCATTATAATGTCATATCTGCAGTTGTTAGAATGTAATGCAGTGCAGCTTATTACACAATAAAAATATGTGAATTGTAAAATATATTTATCACTAGCACATCCTTTTTTCTTTTCCTGTTAAAGTTTTTAACCGCCACAGATGATTGATTTAGTATACTTTGATACTTTTTTCTGGTTCATAAATGACCGACTTGTGATCTACTATAATTTCTTAAGATACTACCACATAGTTAATCTAAAGTATAAAAAGGAAATTTCAATATATTTGCAGCCATTTTCCTTTATCAGAAATATTACAACATTGATATTAAACTTTTAGATATTACTTCACAGGTTTATGAAATATTTTATCAATATTCTATGTCCTCAAAGATTCCCTCAAGTATGTCAATACATTATTCTCAACTTATTTTACAAGATAAGAAAATAGAAACTAGTATATACTATAATTTCATTTATTCATTTATTCAACAATTAATCACCTACCTGTTCCAGATGCTGTGCTAGGGAAAGTGAGAGAGGCGTATAAGCAATTCATTGTATCGATGTCAAAGGGCAAAAGGACCTGTAAGAACTGGATATTTCCTTAAGAGTCAATTCCAAACTATGGAATTTTCTAAAACTTCTTATGAAATGTTTTTAGAAGCACGAAGATGGGAGATTCATCTCAGAACAGCTGCTAGTTGCGCTGGTTAGTTATGAGGCTTGGCCCAAGCCTCATTCGTACATTTTCAAGATAAGAACTGAGTTCATGTTATTTCTTTAACCATATTTCACAGTCATAGAAAGTGAAGAGCAATACAAAGTATAGTAAAGAATTTTTTAAATTAGCCCTTTTTTTGGTTTTCTTCTTGACAACATGTGGTATTTTTTGGATGTTACATTGAAGTTTTATGTGAGGACAAGAGATTTAAGAATCTAAGCTTAAAACTTTAAGAATGATATTACTTTTATCTTAGGTTGAGTTTCCTAAAAAGCAAAGACTAAGACAAGACTTCGGTGCAGTTACTTTATTCAGGACATGGTCCCAGGAAGCAAGAGTGAGGTAGCAAGCAGAGTGAAGCAGAAAGAGGGAAAGTCAATACAAGTATGTGTTATTGAGGTTTCTACTATGGGCAGCTGGGGCTCAATTCCATCAGGACCTCCTGAGAAGCTTACAGAACACCTTTCAATTGTTCAAATCTCCAGTGGATCGGAGGCTGGATCCGATCCAGCCTCCAATTCCCTCCTTCAATTTCCTCCTTCAACATTAATCCTTCAATTCCTTCCCCCACTGGGTAGCTCTAAGGAATTGGCCTGTAGGCTCCATGGCAGCTCAACCCCCTGTGTAGAAAGCAGAAAGACACCCAATCTGTGGTTAAGGTTGGACTTTGTCAGAGTAAGGTGAGTTACACAAGCCTGTCCACCACCATACAACTAAAATCAGCGGTGTACTGAGGGGATTGTGACATGGGGCACCAGAGGCACCTCCTATAACTTTTTTGTTGGGATATTAAAATTATGGGAAATTGGAGGTGACATCTTTGAAGAAACTTACTCACCCAAGAAAAAAGATTTACAGATACCAACACTATAGAAATCTCAATGGGACAGAGACTGCTAGTTACCTATGCTAACATGATTCCCCCCTTCCTTTGCTGCAGTAAGAACCCAATTTCATTTGAGGTAGCAATGCATCCAGCTAAGAGACTACATTTTGTAGCCTTGCTTACAGCTAGATGTGGCCATGTGTTTAATTTCTTGCCAAAAAGTGTAAGCAGAATACTCTATGGGCTTCTGGAAAGAGACTGGGAACTTACTTTCTCTATGTTCCTCCTTCCTGCTGCCTGTAATGCAGGTATAATTGCAGAAGCCACCTGGACCATAAGGCACTGGCACTGAGAGAGTCGTGTAGCAAGGTGTCTGTTGCCTGCATCCCTGATGATGTGGTGTTGTCATACAAGCCATGGACTGCCACATCTGGCCTTCTCTTATGTGAGGAATAAATCAATGTTTATTAATCATCTATTATTTGGGGTTTTTCTCTTACATTTTGACCAAATCTCATTCCAGCTAATACATCACATGAAGTGTCTGGAACCCGCCCCACCTCCCTGCAGTAAAGGCCATTAACTGGCAAGCCCTGCCAGTGCACACATAGTTTCCAGTCAGCTTTCCTTTCTCTCAATCTTAAACAGATTGCAGAGTACAACATATCCAAACATTTTTTAAAAAGCTTCTAATGTCAAAAACAGACACCAAAAAAGAAACTTTGAAGAAATAGAGACAGTCCTGGGAGCAAAAGAGAATGTCAAAACAAACAAACAAACAAACAAAAACAACATTCTTTATAATTAAGACATATTTTACATCCAAAAAACATTAACAAAATACAAAAAAGTATACTCAGAGAACTAGAAAGAGCTCTTGGAAATTAAAAATATAACTGCAATAAGAAACTCAGTAGGTGAGCTGGAAATAAAGTTGATGGAAAGTAGTAAAGGATATATTGAAAACACAGAGATTTAATCCAAGAGTTCCAGTAGATATGTATTCCAGAAAGAGAAAGAAGAAACTGGGTGGAAAGAAATTATCAAAGAAATAATAGAGGAAAGCTTCATTGAATTGAAATTTTCATAATGAAAGAGTTCTCTTACTGCCAAGCAATGTTAATGCCAAAAGACTCACATTAAAAGACATCATTATAAAACTTCAGAATATCTGGTTAAAGAGACTTTCAAAATTTTTCAGAAGAAAAAAGAAAAATATCAAGAATCAGAATAAAAGCCTTTTCAACAACAATACTAGATTCTAGAAAACAATGGAACTGTAACTTCAAAATTCTAAGGGAGATTTATTTCAGCCTGATATTCCATAACCAGAAACACTCTCAGTCAAGTGTGAGGATGGAATGAATGGCATTCTAGATACAAAAAGATTAGAAACATGCATTTTCCTTGCACACTTTCTTAGACCCTCCATCCCTATTTCCCATGGCTATCTACACATATATTTGCTCCAGTCAGGACAGATTTCCTACAGCTCATTTCTGCCATGGTACCTGTCTCCTGTGGCCTCCCTCCACTCATATGCCTTCTCCTTTCCGCTGTGAAAACCAGATCTCCTACACGTTCTTCAAGAGCCAGTGCAAGCTCCACTTGCTTGAAGCCTTTAGTCCACACACATCTGCAGTGATCTCTCTACCTTTTGACCCTTCTCAGTCTCTAGAATCTTCACATGCATTTTGCTACTTTTCTCATTTTATCTGGCATTAGTCTCTATATATGTCTGAATTCTCCAACAAGATTGGAAGAGTATCTTAGTGTGACAGGAAAATAGAAAGTGCTTGGTAAACATCTGATGTTTACCCAGTTAATTAGGATAATCTGATTCCCGAATCAATTGTCTTTTCATGACACCATACTTTTTTTTTTTTTGAGAAACAGACATTGTTTGTTTATTAGAATGCAGAAAGTATCTGTATCAAGAGCAAGACAACAGGTGAAATTGTATTTCTCAGAAGAAGCAACAAATTACAATTTTGCAAGCACAACAGGTGATTTCAAAAAAGATAAATTTTTTTTACAAAGAAAATTATCTTTTTATACAAATATTTTGGGCTTTCATTCAAAGGAAGATTATTTCATAAACTCTCAAGAATTTATGGATAAGAAAACCTTCAACTTTTCAAGGACAAAAGTAACTTGGAGGCTGACTTTA